TAAAGGTAAACAATAAGTAAAAGTGATAGATTATAATAAATGCTCATTTTAAAACAAAGCAGAACAAATTCAACTACAAAAAGTGAGAATCACCACCATCCAGAAAGAACAGTTGTGAACATTTTAATGGGCTTCACTGATGAATGCGTGAGCACTTGTGGACAACCCCCCACCAACCTGATGTGTAATACAGCTTTTTAAAAATATAATACACATAAAACTTACCATCCTAACCATGTTAAGTGTGTAGTTCAGCAGTGTTAGGTACAGCCAGTGTTGTACAATCCAACTCCAGAAACTCTCTTCATCCTGCAAAGATGAACATCTATACCTATTAAACAATCCCCCTTTCCCCTCCCTACCCACTCTCCCACCATTCTACTTTATGCGTTTATGAATCTGACTACCAGGTACTTCATAAAACTGGAATCATGCATTATTTGTCCTTTTGTGACTGGCTTATTTCACTTAGCTTAATGTCCTCCAGGTTTATCTACACTGTAGAATGTATCAGAATTTCTTTCCTTTTTAAGGCTGAATACTATTCCATTGCATGTATATACCCAATTTTGTTTATCTATTCATGTGTCAATGGACATTTGGGTTGTTTCCATCTTTTGGTTATTGTGAATCATGCTGCTGTGAACAGGGGTGTGCAAATATTTCTTTGAAATGATATGACTTTTTCACTTAATATATGCTATACATATTTTCACTTCACCAAACAGAAATAATTTTTAATGATTGGAGAGTATTTTATCTTTAAAGTGGGGTTTATTGAGGTATAAGTTATATCCAGAAAAACTCACCCTTTAAAATTAAACAGTTCAACAAGTTTTGACGAATGTAGACAGTCTTGTAACTAACACACAATCCATCACTCCAAAAAGTTTCCTCGGGTCTCTGTTGTCAGTCTTCTCCTCTAACATCCAGCCTCTGGCAACTGTTGATGTGTTCCATCCCTATGGTTTAACCTTTTAAGCCTGGCATCTTTCACTTGGCATGATGCTTTCAGGATTTCTCGATGTTGTTGAATGCATCAGTTAATTCCTATTTATAGCTGAGTAGTATTCCACTGTATGGATGTATCACCATGTGCCTCTTCATTCACCTGGTGATGAACATTTGGATTATTTGCAGTTTAGGGTGGTTATGAATAAAACTACTGGAAACATTCATGTTCAGAACTTTGTGTGGTCAAATGTTTTTATTTTTCTGGTAAAGATTTAGGAGTAGGATTGCTTGTGTACTTTTAAGTTTATAAGAAACTGTCAAACTATTTCCATAGTGGCTTTACCATTTTGCATTCCCATCATCAATTTTTGAGAGTTCTGGTTGCTTCCTTAAATAGTTTTTTTCTTGTGCCTTATTTTATTTAATAAAACTCTATTTATTGGATATAAGGACATGTCCAATTTTTCAGTTTTATAAACAACACTGTGATGAGCAGCCTTATATGTATGCCTTTGCACATTTATTGCCTTAGAAGAAAGTTTTGTAAGTAGAATTGTTGGGTCAAATAATATTCTTATATTCAATTTTGATTCATATTGTCCTCTAGAAAAATTGTGCCAAATGCACTACCACCAAAAAAACGGAGTGTCAATTTTTCGACACTCTGCCAATGCATTTTCATGAATCTTTGAAATGTTTAGCAATGTGATAAGTAAAAATGACTCATCGTTGCTTTAATTTCTAATTCTTTGGTTACTATTGAGGATGAACACCTTATACAATTTGGACATTTGTATTTGTTCTCTTGTGAATACCTCGCTTGTGCTTTTAACTTTTTCTATTTTTTTTTGGGGGGGGTAGTTATTGAGTGTGTGTGTGTGTGTTTGCATTTAGGTATTTACCCCTTCATATAGACTGTGAATATTCTAATTGGAAATCGTCATTTACTTTTGTCTACTTTTTAATGCAATATTTTAAATGTTTAGGGTTAGATTCTCAATCTTCATTTCATAGTGAAGAGACTTTACTACCTCATGGTTTTAAAATATTTTAAGTTATGTCTAATATTAAATGGTTCTTAATTTAAAAAATAATTTAATATTAATATTTAAATATTTATGAATATTTAATTTTTAATTCTTAACAGAATCCTGGCTTTTAGTATTTCACTGTTAATTATGATGCTGCCTCTGAGATCAACTTCCTCCTCCTCAGGTCATGTTAAGTTTCTTGTATTTTTATAATACTGAGTTTTCTTTTAAAGTTAGGCCTGGACCATTAAATTCTATTAATGCTTTTTTTCCCAGAACCTCCTGATGACCATTTTTCTTCCCTGGTATCAAACGTTATCTGTGGTAGTGGATTTATTAATGTCGAATCATCTTTGCATTCATAGGGAAAGCTCGACAGTGCTTTGTTTTTTTGAGGAAGGAATTTAGAATTTAACTTTTTAGAAGAAAAACCTTATTAACAATCCCTCTCCCCACCATACAGGCCAAAGTGCCAACAGTTAAGAAAACATACTGAATAGTCTGTCCTTA